AGTTTCCATGAAGAAGTCCAGTGTAATTCTGATAGGTTTGCCTTCATATGTTACTTGGACTTTTTCCTTTGCTGCTCTTAATATTCTTTCCTTATTCTGTATGTTTGGTGATTGAATTATTATGTGACGAGGGCACTTTTTTGTGGTCCACTCTATTTGGTGTTCTGTAGGCTTCTTGTACTTTAATTGGCATGTCTTTATGTTGAGAAAGTTTTCTTCTATGACTTTGTTGAATTTGTTTTCTGCACATTTGAGTTGGGTTTCTTTACCTTCTTCTATACCTATTATCCTTAGGTTTTTTTTTGTCACAGTGTCTCATATTTCCTGGATATTTTGTGTTAAGGATTTGTTGGACTTAAGATTTTCTTTGCTTGATGAATCTTTTTCCGCTAGTGTGTCTTCAACTCCTGAGATTCTCTCTTCCATCTCTTGTATTTTGTTGGTTATGCTTGCATCTGTGGTCCCTGATTGTTTATTCAGCTTTTCCACTTCCAGCATTCCCTCAGTTTATGTTTTCTTTATTGTCTCTATTTCAGGTTTCAGGTCTTGAACTGTTTTCTTCAGCTGTTCAATTGTATTTCCTTGGCTTTCTTTGATTCCTTGCATCTTTTGGTTTGTCTTTTCTTCCATGTCTCTGAAGGATTTTCTCATTTCCTTTCCTAGGGTCTCTATCATATGCATGAAGTTGTTTTTATGGTTGCTGTCTTCTGCTTCATCTGTGTTGCGATGTCCAGGTCTTGATGGTGTAGAGTCCCTAGGCTCCGGTGGTGTAATATTGGTTTTCCTGTTGTTGGATGTGTTCTTATATTGTTGTCTTCCTATCTGTTCTTCTAGTGGGTGCAGGTGGTGTCTCTTCCTTTCCTGGTATGTATGGGTCCAAGGTTCTCCTGATGGGTAAAAGAAGGTCCGATACTCTGATAGGTCTCCAGGTGGATGGGAGCAGGACTAGCACAAAGATGTCAGCAGACTCTGGGTTGCTTGGTCCTCAGGGGTTGAGTTGATCTGCCTGCAGACCCCAGGAAGTGAGTTCCCACAGTGGGCAGGTGGAAGTTGAGCCCAAGGCAGGAGCCAAATCAGCTCACCTCTGCCCTGAGTGGGGGTAGGAGTAGCCCAGCAAATTAGCAGACTAAAGATTTTTGGTCCTCAGGGGTTGAGTCGATCTGCCTGCAGATCCCAGAAAGGGACTTCCCAGAGTGGGCATGCAGAAGTTGGGCCCAATGCAGGGGCTGAAGGAGCTCACCTCTGCCCTGAGTGGAGGCAGGAGTCTAAAACTAATTTTCATATATAATGTTTCACAAAAATTTGCCAGAAGAGTTAAAAATGTATGAGATGAAACTTTTATTTAATGAAGTAGAATTATGTGATAAGAAATTGAAAGGAACTTTTAAATGATTTTAGCACACACTTTAATTATTATGTGATGAGGGCACTTTGTTATGGTCCACTCTATTTGGTGTTCTGTAGGCATATAAAGTACTAATTATTAGCATATAAAGTACTAATATGCAATTTTACTATGTGTGTCTATCAAAACATAACAGTGCTCTCCCTAAGAATATATAAGGAAATGATTTTGAAAGTTAAGACAAATTGCACAATCTAAAATAAGGTTTGTGTGTCTCATGTGTTCATAAAGTATCGAAAGAGTGAGAAAGAAAAAAATGTCTCCACTGGCATTTTCAGATGTGGAAATAGTTCTCTAAATAGATGCATGGGCTGTAAACCTACAGGCAAGTTTTGTATATTTTCAAATAATTATTATATTTATTCATGTGGGTGAATGAGTCATGAATGTAGCCATGTCTATATATGTCCTTGAACATATACAACAGCACAGCTGTGGAGATCAGAAGACACCTGAATGACTGGGTTCTTATCCCTCAACCCTGTGGATCCCCAAAATTAACTCAGATCCTCAGGCTTGGCAACAAGTGACTTTAACTGCTATGACATCTCACTTTCCAATGTATTTCATCTTTTAACTTGTAAGTTGTCATAACAAAAACAAAATATTAACTCATAATTATAAAATATTTATAAAATTAAATAGACAATTCTCAATAGAGGAATCTAAAATGGCTGAAAGACACATAAGAATGTGTTCAACATCCTTAGCCATCAGGGAAAGACAAATCAAAACAACTCTGAGATACCATCTTACTCTTGTCAGAATGACTAAAATAAAAAACACCAAATGACAGTCTATGCTGGAGAGAATGTGGTAAAAGGGGAAAACTCCTTGCTGGTTGGAGTGCCAACTTGAACAGCCACTTTGGAAATCAGTATGGTAACTCCTCAAGAAAATGGGAATGAGTCTATCACAAGATCCAGCAATTCCACTCCTAGGCATATACCCAAAAGAAGCAATTCATACAACAAGGACATCTGTTCAACGATGTTCATAGCAACACTATCTGTAATAGCCAGAAACTGGAAGCAGCCTAGATGCCCCTCAACTGAAGAATTGGTGGAAAAAATGTGGTACATTTACACAATGGAGTACTACTCAGCAGAAAAAAAAATAGAATCTTGAAATTTGCAGAAAAATAGATGGAAATCGAAGAAACCATTCTGAGCGAGGGAACCCAATTACAAAAAGACAAACACGATATGTACTCACTCATAAGTGGATTTTAGACATAGAGTAAGGGATTACCATCCTACAATTCACACTGCCAGAGAAACTAGTAAACAAGGAAGACCCTAAAAGAGACAAACTTTGTCCCCTGGAGAAGGGGAAAGGGTCACCATCCCATGAGCAAATTGAGAACATGGGAAGAGGGGGGAGGAAGCTATGAGAGTGAGAAGGGAAGAAAAGGAAGGATGCAGAGGTCATGGGAAAGCAGAAATTTTGAGTCAGGTGTAGATTAGAAGAAAGGACATATGATAGGTAGGGTTTTAGTTGGGGGGTGGTAGAGGAGGAAGGGAGGGAGAAGGGAACTGGGATCATCATGTAATTCAATCTTGTTTGTAATTCAAATATATAAAAAATAAACAACTAAAAAATTAAAGGAATAATTTTTCTTTATTACTGAGTTCTCAAATTCAATTCAAGAGAAGTTGGAAGCTAGGGTTCCCCAAGGACTATGAAAGTAAAAGACTTTCCAATTATATGGTCCTAATTAATGTGCAGAATGGAAAACTTTCCAAGACAGACATGACTTTTGTCAGCATATATAAGCCACACTGAGGTGAAACATTTCAGCAACACTGGTCATAGAAGAAACAACAATGTAAGATTGTCAAATTCCAGTGAAATTAGAGGGAACATCAACCAAAAGACAAGATTTGTTTTAAAAGGATATTCTTGTAGTGTGAGTACATAACAAACTGATTGTTGTACTTTCATTTTTATCTCAACTACTCATTTAAAGGTTATTTTGTTGTTGGTGGTGGTGGTGGTGTTGTTTTAGTAGCACATTTAAAAAAATCCTGCTTGCATTTGCATTTCTTAATTGTTGTGCTTAATAAAAATATTGTAGTTTTCCATTCCAACTAATCCTTGAGATATTGGAAACTTAAAGCAGTTTTATATGCTCTCATCTAATGATCTCTTAGGGTGATATTTAAAATTTCAAGTCTCTCACATGGCAAAAATATCATACTCACAGACCACTAAACTTACTCCATTACCTTATTTTTTGATACTCTATTTTTCAAGAGGCAGACAATAAATTAGGTAAGTAGTTACTAAAAATTGGAGGAAGTTGATAGTGATACAAATTAAAATAATCATAATTCACTAAGAATTCACCAATATAAAAATTGTGAAAATGGAATTGATATCTTTTAATGAAATTAATTTTATGTGAACTTGACCATTTTTACAACTTAAATTTGCCATTTTTACTTATTTATATTTGTATTTAAATAGCAAACTTCCTTCTTTTACAAATGTCATTAATTTTCTTGGACTCCTCAAAATGTAGATCCCTATCATTTATTTGATAATTAGGAAGTGACTTTGGGGATTTGGAATCAGGGCAACCTTATTTTGTACTACATACACTTTTACTAATTTATAGACCTGATTGACACAGGAAATCAATAGATATTACTATTACTAATGTATAATGTTTCAAGTACTTAACAAGGAAATCTCAAAACATCCTCTAATTTGTTTACATTTTAATCTTCCAATTTCAAACCTAAAAATTGTATGAAAAAGAACCAACATTAAGATTAAAAAGAAATCTCATGAGAAATAAAGGTAAAGAGTCAAGAAAGAAAGAAAAAACAGAAAGGTATAGAGGCAGAGAAAGCAGCTTTCATGAATAAGTGATTCAAACTATTACATGAAATATCACCATTTAGAGTTGAAAGTCTGTAAGCATATGACAATAAGTAACATCCCTCGTGCCTAGTGATCTGTAATTGTTCAGAGATACACTCCAAAGAAAAACATAATGCTAAAAACATGACATGAGCGCATGGATTTTATCATACATTTTAATACAATTGATTCAATTCTGTCCATTCAGAAATAGGCAAAATTATACTTGTGCCTGTGAATTTTATGTTCATGTTTAAATTTGGTCAATGGGTTTTAATTTTAGTACAAAGACAGTCAAGTGGAGGTTGTAAGAGTATCACAAATATTCATTGAAGAATATTACCTCTGAATCCATGACAAAAAGGTAGATTTAAGGCTTTAAAACATAAACCGAATATTTTATTCAGATATTTTTAAACTATATACTCATTTACATACATACACAGATTATATTTCAGATGTAAACTTTTCCTATATTTAGAAAAATTTCCTGCTTAGGGAGAATACACACACACACACACACACACACACACAGAGAGAGAGAGAGAGAGAGAGAGAGAGAGAGAGAGAGAGAGAGAGAGAGAGAGTTATTTTCAATTTGACTGGATACAATACTACAATATAATTTGGATACTTACTTCTTACTTGACTGCAAAGATTAAGCTATTATTTCTATTTCAGGAATTCTTAGACTCTGTCGCTCTCAACCCACTGGAGCACAGTGAACTAAATGGAAGAAGCAAACCAATCTGTGGTATCTGAGTTTATTTTTCAGGGGCTTTGTACATCAAGGGAACTACAGATCTTCCTCCTGCTGCCATTTTCCACCCTCTACCTGATGACTGTTGTAGGAAACCTGTTTGTCACAGCATTAATCATCACTGATCATCGCCTCCATTCTCCCATGTACTTTCTGTTAGCCAATCTCTCCTTTATTGATTTTTGCCTTTCATCAGTTACTACCCCCAAACTGATCATAGATCTTGTAAAAGATAATAAAACCATTTCCTTTGGGGGCTGCATGAGTCAGATCCTCTGTGTGCATTTCTTTGGAGGGGGCGAGATGGTGCTTCTTGTAACAATGGCCTATGACCGCTATGTGGCCATCTGCAGGCCACTCCACTACACCAGCATCATGGACAGACAGAAGTGTATCTGGCTCGTTTTGATATCATGGATCATTGGCTTTGTCCATGCCATGAGTCAGCTGATCCTGATTTTGGAGCTACCTTTCTGTGGACCTAGAGTGATCGACAGCTTTTTCTGTGATCTTCCTTTGGTGATGAAGTTGGCCTGCACGAATACTGATACTCTGGGAATTGTGATAAATGCTGACAGCGGTGTTTTAGCAACAACTTGTTTCCTTCTCTTGCTGATATCTTACACTTACATTCTATTAACTGTCCAGCATCACTCTAAAGAAGGCTCATCAAAGGCACTCTCTACCTGTACATCCCACATCATAGTGGTTCTGCTATTCTTTGGGCCTGTCATTTTCATGTATCTTTGGCCAGTCAGCATCACTTGGGTAGACAAGTTTCTTGCTGTATTTTATTCAGTCATCACACCCCTCCTAAATCCAGCCATCTATACACTGAGAAATAAAGATATTAGGGATGCCATAAAGAAGCTGATAAATCATATGTGAGTTCTGGAGTAATTTTTAGGTATCATATATTATTGGAAAATTCATTGTGTATATACCATTTTATCCACATGGAAATTGAATTGTATAATAATTTGTTTGGTGAATTTATAATGGTAATTAATATATGGTTATTAACATAGCCATTAGAAAAAACATATTCAAAAGTGTAACATTCATAGTCTTTTTTATCATTTTTATTTGAATTAGAAAGAAGATTGCTTTACATCACAATCCCAGTTCCCTTATCCCTCCCTTCCTCCCTTAACACCCCCCCAACTAAAACCCTACCTATCACATACCCTTTCTTCTATTCTTCCCCTGACTCAACGTTTCTACTCCCTCATGACCTCTGTATCCTTCCTCTTCTTCCCTTCTCATTCTCATAGCTCCCTTCCCTCTCTTCCCATGCTCTCAATTTGCTCAGGGGATATTGACCCTTTCCCCTTCTCCAGGGGACCATGTATATCTCTCTTAGGGTCTTCCTTGTTTACTAGCATCTCTGGCAGTGTGTATTGTAGGCTGGTAATCCTTTACTCTATATCTAAAATCCACTTATGAGTGAGTAGATATCATTTTTGTCTTTTTGTGATTGGGTTACCTCGCTCAAAATAGTTTCTTCTAGTTCCATCCATTTTCCTGCAAATTTCAAGATTCCATTGTTTTTTCTTCCACTGAGTAGTACTCCATTCTTTGGTTTAGGGGCATCTAGGCTGATTCCAGTTTCTGGCTATTGCAAATAAACACTCATAGTCTTACCATTTAAAATGAGTCATAGCTCTGCATAATATGCTTGTATATATTTAAGAGTGGATGATAATAATATTGCAAATATTATGATCAGATTATTACACGTTATCTGTGTTCTCAAAATTATACAAGTCACTTTATTTACATTGTTATTAACAAAACCATCTTTGCATTTCTTATCAATCTCACCATCTTTATAAGTATGACATTATATGCCAACCTTAATGCTATCTTTATAATTGAAGATATTAGTGAAGACTGCATCCACTTGGATATCAAATTGCTAAACAAATGAAATCATAATGCTAGCTGCCTCATAGTGATATGATCTCTGTCAGTTTTCAAGTCTTAATTCTTCATATGAATTCAGGATTTTCCTATGTTTTTCCTTAATTAGAAGGGCAATTTGCTTATAATATTTTAATATAATTTTTTCAGTTCACAATTATTTGCTTGATCATGATTTTATGTTATATAATGAAAACCATAACTGCCAAGGCTATTTAGGTAAACATTACATGCTCTTGATAATATGGTATGCATAATAATTCATAATATATACCAATTGTGCATCATATCTGGATAAAATTTGTGTGTACATAAAACACAGTAGATTGAGGTCTAGCTTATTTCTAAATAGATATGAAATTAAAAAAGTTGTTATCACATAAACTTTCTAACAAAACCATGCAAACATATGCATCATGCTTTCATAAAATCATGTGATTATAGGTAAGTATGGCTTACAAATGGCCACAGACTTTGATATGTAAAATGTATAGGTTCTGGTATCTTTATCAGAAGAAATTATCTCCAGTTTGTTTATAGAGTTAACTCTCAACAATTTTGTCATGCTACTTATTTAATAAATATACTATTTGACAATATCTGCAATAAACTGATTACATTTGTTACAGTCTCTGACCTCTCATTTCCCTCTCACTCTTATTACCCCCTTTTCCAGTCACAAAAACACACACAAGTACATTTCTACATTTATGTATTTTTGTTTTGCTTTGTGATCCATTGCAATGACCCATTGCCATCTGTGTGTCCTTTGATTACAACTATCCCTGAAGCATTATGACCTCATCAGTGGCTCTCAACTGAAGAAAATTCCTGGCACTGTCCCAGAATCATCAGTAGCTCACAGTTCAGCAAGGAGATGTAGCAGGACATAGGTACCCTCTGATTTTTGATTGACTGTTGACTATTGTCTTGTCTGGCACCCACAGTATGCAGCTTTGGGATCACTGTTAGCTGTGCCATGTCTACAAGATAACATTTCACAGTTATTGCATTCTCCCTGATCCCCTCTTCATTTTTCCCAGAATTGTTTTACAAGCAATTTTAACCTACAGACAGCTTGCTCTCACCTGCACACAGTCATACTATAACAACAACAACAACCAAAACACCTTAAGGACTCCTTTCTACACTATATAATTAAACTATAAATTGACCTGTTTCCTGTGTACTTTCTAATAATGTTTCTTTTAGATTTTAGCAATCAATGAAATTACTTGTATGTAATGTATGTTTCAAGAAGCACAATGGAACCCAGTAAGATAACTTAGCAGTTAAGGAGTTTCCTACCAAACCAGAGAATCCAAATTAAATCCCCCAAACCCACATGGTAGAATAAGAGTTACACTCCCATATGTTTTGATCTAACATCTACTAGTATTCCCACCCATGCACATACAGAAGAATTAAATAAACAAACAAATGTTGCAAAAAGAATAAACACAATTAAATCTTTGAAATACATATTTGATTGTATCCCAATAAAAGCATTATATACATAAACATGGACTGTATCCACAATTGTACTTTGAGGGATATTATGCATATGAAGAAATAAATAAACACTGAATGAGAGAAAAATACCCAGACAATTCAGTCTGCATACTATAAAAGGAACTAAATAAAATTAAACACTGAATGCAAAAAGTAATTCAATAAACATAAGTAGGTAAATGTACTGAATAGACATTTTTCAAAAAGAAATACAGATGGCTAATAAATACATGAAAAAATGAAATTTTAGTTATCAAGCAATGACATTTTTTGAACATTATTACTGTTATTTATGTTTAGGAAAGTATATGTTTGGGGGCCATGTACACAGATATCAGAAGAAGACATCAAGTGCATGAAGTTGAAGACACCAATCACCTAAGACACGGGACCTAGAGACCCTGAACTGGACCTGACTTGAATGCTTAATCCCTACAGATGGGCTTGAATTTCAAAGAGGAACTAAAATCAATACTCCTCATTTTAGATATTTTAATATAATTAAAACACTTTTCCTTTCTTGTCCTCCCTCTATATCCACCCATATTGTACTCTCCTTCAAATTCTTGGCCTCTTTTTTCATTAGGGCGTGGTCAGTTTTGTAGGGTGACTGCGTTTACTCTTTCGCTTTCACTTTGGTACTTGCTGTACAGACTGCTGCCACGGCGGCTGGCTAGGTCGCTCTGTAAGGCTATTCCCTATTAAATCCCCTTATATCTCTACCTGACTCTGTATTGGTAATTTCCCACTGTACCCTTTGATCTTCATTCCTCCCTTTTTGCAACTAAGTTCCAGAGTTCAGTTCAGTGTATATCTGTGGATGTTTGCCTCTGCTTCCATCAGCCACTGGATGAGGGCTCTAGGATGGCATAAAGTAGTCATTATTCTCATTATAGGTGAAGGGCACTTAGGTTATCCTTTCTAGCATTGCCTAGATTGTCAGTTCATGTTATCCACTTAGATTTCTGGAAATCTCCCTTGTTCCAGATCTCTCCTCAGACCTATAATGGCTCCCTCTGATATGGTATCTCTCATCCTGCTCTCCTCTATTCTTCCCCAAACTCAACATTTCTGCCCCTCAATTTCCTCTTCTCCCCTCCACTTCTCCTCTTCTCATTTTGGCAGCTTCCTGACCCCTACCCTCATGCTCCCAATTAGCTAATGAGATCCTGCCCCTGCCTATTCTCTGGGGTCCATGTGTTGTTTTGGCTATCCTGGGTTTTTTGTTTTTCCATATAAAGTTGAGTTTTGTTCTTCAATGTCTGTGAAGAACTGTGTTGAGATTTTGATCGGGATTGTGTTGACGCTGTAGATTACCTTTGGCAAGATTGACATTTTTAATATGTGGATTCTGCCTATTTTTTGCTTGTTTTTTCTTCTATTTGTTTAAGGGATTTTCTTGTTTCCTCTTTAAAGGTTCCTATCATCTTCCTAAGATAATTTTTGAGGTCCATCTGTTCTTCATCATCTGTGTTGGACTTTTCAGATCTTGCTGGTGTGGAGTCCCTAGATTCTGGTGGTGTCATATTGGTCTTTCTGTTGTTGGGTGTGTTCTTACTCTGTCTTCTTCCCATCCCTTCTTCCAATGAGTGCAGGTAGGGTCTCTTCCTCTCTCTGGTGGCAGGCAAAGGGCTCAGCCTCTAGAGGCAGCTGGATGGCAGAGGGTGGAGTGTGGACAGGGGTGATGTGTGTCCAGACTCTGGGTGGGCCTTCCTGTCTGGGCAGGTCCACTCTTGTCTGGGGGGGGCGGCGTTTCAGGCAGAAGCAAGCAGCAGTTGATGGGGGAGTTTGGGGAGCAGAGCAGCGCCCAGACTCACCTGAGGCTTGGGTGCCCACCGCAAGACAGAGCTTGTTTCATGTTTTTGTTCCACATAATCTTTTTTGTGTCTTTACGTTTCAACCTAGGTGACCTCTGTCAAGTTCAGTTGAAACTCAGTTGAGTGGAATTCTTCAAAGCAGTAATATTTTTAAAGATTATATGTAGTATTTTGACTCTTCTTTCTTGTCTCTAAAGAATAAGATCATAAAAAAACAATATCTGTATCTTAGCTATCTCATAGCAACTGAATTATTCTTTCAAATCTAAAAGGCAATAGAATAATTTTATATATTACCAATTTGTATGATGGATAAAACATATTTAGTACTTATGCTATAATATTTAAATTAGATACATGTTTTTTTATTTTAAAAAATTGCTATGAGATATAACAACTCATATTGGGAAGAGTAACTGAAGTAGTTATTTAATTCCAATCACAGGAGGCATCAAGTTAACTTAGTGACCAAAGATGCTTTTCACAAATTGTTTATGCACTTGTGTATGGTTTGAAATGTGTTTTGAAAAGTAACTAATTTCCAGCCATTTCTTTATATTTTTATGAAATTATCATTGCTTAAATTTTGTGACACTTTCTAAACCATTGCATAATATTATTCTCTTTTCTGCCTTA